CAACTAGCACCTCATGCTAGGAGATAACACTAAAAATGGGCCTCACCCACCAAACACCAGTTAAGCTAAAATGACCAAGACTTAACCATACAACCAACCTCCACCAAATAAAACAAAGGAACAATTTCCACCTGCATCATCATAAAATCCGCTTGATAACAACCCCATAAACAGTCCGCTAGGACAGAACAATAGCATACATGAAGTATAGCCCAGGACAAAGGATCGCAGCCATGAACCATCAGCCAGCAAAACAATCACAAGGAGGCTCAAGCAAAGCATGAAGCATAGGATGTCAAGACAGAAAAAAGAGCAACAACTACCACAATGAAAGAGGCATGAAAAGGAGCCCAGGCAGAAGCAAAAAACATGGTAGCAATAGGAAAATCACCCAACATACAACACAGGCCATCAGCTAGCACCTCATGCTAGGACAACAATAAAAATAGGGTCTCATCCCACTCCACACCAAGCAAGCTAATACCAAAACTCAACTATGACAACCAACCTCCAGCAACTATCCACCATCAATAGGCATAATCATAAAATCACAGCTAAATAACAACCCAGAAACTAGTTTTCTAGGACAACGACATGGCAAGCATACAATACAAACCAGGACAAAGAATCGCTACCATGGACCATCACCCAACAATACTAATCACTAGGAAGCTTAAGCTGAAAAGGCAATACAATATGCCTAGATAGTAGTTACAGCCAAAGAAGCATTCCCAAAATACACAAAGATAACAAAAAGGAAGTAGAGAACAAAATCAACCTTCCTTTTTACAGATGGAGAACAATAGGAAATACCTCAACCACTACAAATATGCAATTCAAGAAGGCTGCCACCAACCCTCGAGTTCACCCTCCAACCCGAAAAAGAGAACCCAGGAAACATAGCAGCCCCTAGCAATAACACGCCAGCCAGGTAGGAAACCCAGCCACCCGCAAACAAACCAAAACACAGAAAATCAAGGGCTGAATCGCAGCCCCAACAGCCTTGAATCAGTCTAATGAACACCCATTTCAGCGATGCCCAGCAACCGAAAAAGAATAGAGCATAGCCCCGCCGACAAACACCAGTCAAGGGTTGAAGACAACCACTGAACTGGACCCGTCACCAGCAACAAAGACCAGACCCAGCCACCGGTGAACTAGCCCGAAAATCAACAACATTTGATGAGCAAGAACCCAGAAAATCGAGGGTTCGAATTAGCCCCAAACACCCAGAATCAGCCTCACGAATGAGCTTCCAGCGAACTCCAGCTACTGGGAAAAAGAAACAACTCAAACCACCGCCCAGCAACCCACCGGAATCAGCCTAGCAAATTAAAAAAAATCGACACTTTCAAACACAATCCGCCTGCTGGGAAAGAATAGCATGAAACACCGCCCAGCCGCCGTGCCAACAAGAACAACCACCGGAACACCGAACTTAGACCCTTCTTCAATCTCGAGCAAAGAACCCGGAAAATCGAAGAAGGAGCTAAAAAACTTCGCAGCACCGTCCAGCAGCTTTGTTTGATTTAGAAATCAAACCCAAAAAACCCAGAAACAACCCAGCAAGAGAAAAATTAAACCTTTAAGCACAACCCGACCAAAACAGCCGCCACTTCTTCACCCTTGAATGAAGGTCGAAAAACAGACCTAAGATCCAAAAGCCCTTAGGGTTTGTATTTTGACATTGAAGAACAAGAAACAAGCTTCTCAATCTAACCCTTTGAAGAAAGAATCCGATGAAGGCAACCACCAGGACCCTTCTTCAAAGGGCTAGAGAGCTTTAAAAAATTTCTTTGATTATCACAAATGCCTCGTTTAGCATGTGTCATGCAAACCAAGTTTTTTTAGTAGGTAAAATGAGACATTTGCGATAATTTTTTTGTCAATTCTGACCTAAAATCGGAATGAAAGGAACAAGATAACCCCAATACCATTTAAGAGCATGTTTTGGGACGAAAATTGAACAATTTATTTAATCTAGTTAGAATTTTATCACATTGGGTAAAAGACAATTTTTATATTTTTATTTGGTGGTAAATAAAATTTTAGAAGAAAAAATAAATAAATAAGGGCTTGTTTGGCATTGTTTTTTGTTTTCAGTTTTCAGTTTTTTTTAAAACAAAAAACCAAAAACAGGAAACAAGAAAAAGGTGTTTTCACTTTTCAGTTGTCAGTTTTCAAAATTAGCATGATTTTAATAAGTTTGACTAATTTTTAATTCATTATATGACATATATCATACACTTTTAAAATACAAAAAACCAAAAAACTGAAAACCGCAACAATGCCAAACGAACCCTAAACTTATAGAAATTTTGGTAGTAAAAATCATTTTATTTTATTTTTAATTTTTTTTTTTTTTGGTATTGGTAAAAGTCAAAATTTCATAAAACTTATTTTGTCAAATTGACAATTTTGTAATAAATTTTATCAACATATATGAAATCCACATCTAATCTAATTTAAAATAAAAAATTAGTGATTTTGTTACTATTCCCTCACGAAGTTTAGTTAAGTGAACAAAAATGTTATAATTTGACCAAGAATCACATTAATAGTATAAAATAAATAATTAAAAAAAAAAAAGTGTCACATTAATCGCGCAGCAATGTGATGTACTTTTGATGGTGGCTTGAAGTAAAAAGCATTGTCGTCACAAATACTCCATAACTTCATTTACACGTGGTATTATAAATGCAACAAAATATGTTTTTTTTTTAAAAATTTTATTTTATACATCAACCGTCATCATACCTGATTTTTTTACAATTTTAATAATTATTTAAAAATAAAATTCAACTCCTAGCTTTGCCAATAATTGCACCCAACCAAACAGAAAGAGTTCACAGCTCACAAGAAACCTGCCTTATGTTGAATTTTCCTTTTTATTTTAATTTTTGGAAAAAAAAAATTATACTAGTATGATTATACTTCGGATGATTTATATCATCCCTTCAAAAAATATATTAATGTCTTTATTAAATGCACTTTTAATTTTATACAAGTAGTTTTGATATCGAATTTATTAAGATAATAAGATATCGTATGTCAACCGATCTTGCTATAAAATAATGTTATTGATTTAAATGGCTTAGACTATCATTTTAACACATTTCATAAATATGAGATGTTGGTATTTGACTTCTTAAAAATTACCACTCATGTAATTTAGTCTAATTCATCTCGATACATATTTTAGTCTTTATATTTAGCGCACATAGCACTGTCAAAAACCGAACCGAACCGGTGAAACCGAACTGTTTCAACCGATCCGAATGAGAACCGAACCGATTAAAAACTGATTTTATAAAACCGAAAACCGACCCGAACCGCATGTTAGTAAAACCGAAACCGAACCGATTCGAGTAAACGTTAAACCGTTTAAGAACCGAACCAAATCTAAACCGAACTGAAAGGAAACCGAACCGAAAATGAACCGAACCGTTTCTAACCCGAAACCGTTTGAACTGACATAAAAACCGTTTACACCGAACCGTTTACAAACCGCAACCCGTTTGCACCGAACCGTTTATGAACCGAACCACTTATAAATCGAACCGTTTACAAACCGCTTATAAATTAATTACATTTCTCGAATCCCGATAAAACGATATATACCTTCATAATGCAGCTTTTATATTTTTTTTAACACACACATTAACTTATTAAGTTATTTAAATTATAAAATGTGAATCGGTTAGCGTGTAAATGTCTAGCGTCGCGATTAATAAAAAAATCGAATACCGTATAATAATATAATGACGTCATATATTAGAGAGTTAGAAGTACTACGGATTTGTTATATGATTATATCTATATCAGTTTAGCTATGTCTGTAAGCAATACACTTGTAATCGTGTAAACTTATAAATGATAGAATTGACTAGTAGATTAGTACATAAATACAAATTACTTAATTAGATATGACTACATGAGTGATTGACTAATATGACTATATGAGCAATTGTCAATGTAGCATAATTGCATAACAGATTAATTAACAGTGTACTAGACCATCCTACTCGGTAATATACTAATAGCATTTCAGTATTTGATCTATTAGACTCAAGTTAAAAGTTACTCTTTCTTATTAACTTGTTAGTCTAATTAAGTAATTAGTAATTATTAATTAATGACTTAAGCCTCGGGGGTAAACCAATAAAGGATATACAAAAATATAATAATCTTATGATTCTCATCCCTTTATACTAATAAATATTTAACTATGAGAATATGAGATGGTTATATGTTATGTATATGTATAATCGATTGAAAGAAGAATCAATATTACCTTCTTATTCATTAATGTTTTCTTTCATTATACAAATCAAACTACTTTGTAATATCTTCATATATAACTTTATGCAAATATATAATGATAAACGAGTCTTGATTAACAGTCTTGTTGACTAATTAAGAACCGAACCCGTTAACGAACCGAACCAGTTATATGAAACAAAAAAGAACCGAACCATTTCTAACCTGAAACTGTTTGAACCGGAATAAAAACCGTTTACTCCGAATCGTTAACAAACCGCAACCCGTCTGCACCGAACCGTTTACTACCCGAACCATTTACAACCCGAACCGAATTTAAACCGGGATAAAAACCGTTTACACCGAACCGTTAACAAGCCGCAACCCGTCTGCACTGAACCGTTTACTACCTGAACCGTTTACAACCCGAACCGAATTTAAACCGTGGTTCGAATAAACCGAAACCGAATCGAACCGATAATTATTTAAACCGAACTGAAACCGACCCGTAAGACTTTTGAACCGATTTCAAACCGACCCGATTTCAAACCGACCCGATTTCAAACCAAACCGAAACCGAACTGTAAAACCGTTTTTACAGTACTAAGCGCACATAACAAATAAGATTATTCGATTTAAACATGTGTATCGAAGACCGTAAAAACACGATTAATCCATATGAACGTTTTTAATGAAATGGAGGCAGAATCTTATATTGCCATATAAAAATAACAATAATAGAACAAAGTTAATATTTTAACCCAAGAAAAAAAAAAAAAAAGGAAAATTCGGTGGGGATTTTGGCATATGCTAATTTGCCAAGTTGTGGTCTTGGTTTTGCCTCTTTTGATCTCAACTTCCTCTCCTTTCTTTCTCTCTCATAATCTCTCAAAAAATTTCAACCAATTTCCCGAAAATTAGATTACCAATTTTCATTTTTTAATTTCATAGTTTTATTGTTAATTAGATTAACAAGATTACCAGGATATATCTGAATTTGATCCGTCAATTTCTTGTAAATTGAGGTTTAATTTTAGGTGGGTACGAATAATTCAGCTGAATTAGGAGGAGAATTGTATGATTTTGGGTGAAAAAAGGTGAAATTTTTTGTGGGTGTGACAAAAATTTGTGGGGTATTGGTAAATGAATGTGGGTAATTGAAAAAAAAATCGAACTTGGGAAAAATTTGTGAAGGAAATGCTGTATTTGAAGCAGCCAATGGTTCAAGAATTGGGTGATGGTGAATTTGTTTATTTGAAGTGAGGAATTTGAATGCGAGTCTGAGAAATTCCCGAGCCCGGAGGCTCGGGGATCTACAAGAGAGCGCGAAAAATAAGGAAAATGGGTTCTCAAGAAGAGGAACCTCAACCTTTTCACCCTAGTCTCTCTCCTCCTGAGACGTGTATGCACAAGTTCAGGCTCTATGAGACTCGATCGGTATCGTTCCCTTTTGATTGTTCTTGTTGTGATTGTTGTTTGTTGTTTTGAATTTTGTATTGCTTGTTTGTGTTTATGTTTATTGTATGTAATAGACGGGATTTGATTTCAGGTCTTGGGTATTACCCGCGGGAGTTTACTAACTAAGCTTGCTGACATCCACTTTTGGATTTTAATTGTGGATGTTGGTTGACTGGTTTACATTTTTTTGGTTTTGAGATCTCTATGAAATGTTTTATAGTTTAATGTTAGTTGTAGATTTAAGTGTGGTAAGTTGATTAGGATTCTTGATACTTGTGAATTTTTTTATTCAAGTTGAGTTTTAAGTTTAATTATGTCAATATTTTGCTATGTTTCATTTGGGTGGTTTTGTGATTTCCTAAAGCAAATTTGAGCACAAATAAGGAGAATTAAAAACACTGCGAAATGTGGTTTTAGTGGAGGGTAGTTCAGTGTATAAGCTGTACTAGAGCACCTTGTAGGAAATGTAATTAAGTATAGTTAAATGGTTACCGCTTAGTGCTGATGAATTCCCAGCTTCACATTATGATTATGTGTTAACTAGACTAGAGAATTTGTAGTCTGTACACCTTGTAGGAAATGTGACATGGTATAGTTAAAATGGTTATCGGTTAATGCTGATGTGTTCCAAATATGATTATGTGTAAACTAGACAATGGAATCTGTAGTCTGTACACCATGTTAGAAATGTGATTAGGTATAGTTTCACGGTTACCGCTTAGTGCTTATGTGTTCCCATGATGATTGACTTTATTCATATTGAATAACAGACTTATGTTTTTCCCAAATCGCTGTTCAATGGCACATTACATTGCTCATCGTAGAGAAGTTTGTTATGCTTCAAATAAAATTATAAATATGACCTTGGGTATGTTCTGCTTGAGGATATGGCAATCTGATCAGTTTATATAACTGTGGAGAGCATTTAAGTAATTCACATATTCATTTTTTTAAGGTATATAGAATCAATAAACTACGAGAGCAGCACCTTCAGATGGTAAAAACCGCTGTTGCTTGAATTGAATTGGAAAAAAATTTGTATTGAAGAGAGGATTAAAGAGGGGAAAATTATTGGTGAAAGAAAGGGGAAGAGGGAGTATCCAAAATCCGTAGGTTAATTTATTAGAATTAGACATTGCATTCATTGTTTATGAGAATAGCATTAGAGAAGAAAATAGCAATTTGATTATCATAAGCTCCATAAGATGGCTGTAGTTTTATTGGAGGTCTGATTTTTATTGTGATTATTGGACTGAAGAGGAACTAGAGAAAACCTATTTCTTACTTGTAAATGTATTGATGAATTATGCCAAGGATGTATCTAAAGTGAATAAATTAGATATCATTGGTAATTTTTGCCGTAAAGTTTTGGTCGTGATTATTAGTGGCTAATAGGTATAGGATTTTGGGTTTCATTTCTTTGGTCTAAGTTTCAAGGTTCTTGGATTTTGAGGAGACTATTTGTGACTGGTTTGAGGCTTTGAAAATTTTGTAGATCAATGGTGTACTATGCTACAATGGTTGCTCCGTTGCTGTTTAAGTATTATGGGGTGTTTGGGGCATTCTTTTTACCTTTAAAAATTAAGTTTCACGGCTGGTCTATTCAGGTGTAAACAATCTAAACATAAGGTATAACCGGGGCTGATTAGGACCAACTAGGTCTAATGAGCAATATAGATAATTTTGGCCAAGAAGACTGCACCCTTAGTTGTTTTTGATTTCTATTGCCAAAGTAAAAATAAAAATAAAAAGAGTTGTATTAGTTATTGTTGATACAGCCCAATGGCATGGTATGGAACTTGAAAGTCCCAGGTTGTTTATATGAGGAGGGAGGTTTACTGGGGCTCGCCCTCCCTTTTGACAGCTTTTTGGGTGGGTTCTCAAAACTATATTAGTTGGAAAGGTCTTTCTTTTATTAAAGTTTTAAAGGTGGAAATGAGGCTTAATGTTAGTAGAGGCTGTATGGACTGTATATATGTGTGGATTTTAAATCTATTTGTAGTAATGAAGATGGTATGCATGATGCGTGTACTCATATAGTCATATGATACCAAGTGCATATCATCTGTGGGCAAAAGGATGATTGAAGCAAAACCATCATGCTCTAGGCGCGCCTCGCTCCCATGCTTAGGGAAATGGGCTTTAGCTAGGCGAGGCTCAGTCACCTACGGAAGGCGCGCGCCTCAAAGCGCCTTTGTGTCTCACGGAAAATACTAAGATTTAAGTTATAAATTGAAGAATGATGGACATTTTTTCAAATTCAGACTACCTTAGCTTTACATATATCATTATTTAATTTATTACGAATCTTTTTAATTGGTATTAAATACAATTAAAGTAACAAAAATAATTTGAAATAAATATGTAAATACATGCGCCTTGGATACGAAAGGCGCGCGCCTTAGCCTTGCGCCTAGGCTGCAAGGATCATTTGCGCCTTGGTGCGCCTTGCGTCTTTTAAAACTAAGCTCAAGCATATGCGCGTGTGTAATTTTCCTTAATATATCTGTGCTCAAGAATTTAAGATAGGGAAATTGCTGGTTAAAAAGAGCACAAAGAAATTGACTTTTGATTAAAAATTCCGTGATTATCTTGTAAAATGAATTTGCTGATGTTTGGGACAGTTTGTTAAAAAGCTTTTTACTTATTAACGCAGGATGTTAGTTGTAAGAATACTAATGATTAGTTTGTCGTCCTTGTGTATTCAAGAACCATAAAATAATTTAAGATGTTTGACAGTTTCTCCTTAAAGTCCTTACACTAAGGAGGCATTTTAAAATTGTTTGTTAGGACCTTGTATAAATATTTATCTCATGAAGATATTGTCCTGATTGGAACAATCTATTTCACATGCATGTCTAGTCTAGCAAGCATTTAACATCATGGAAATGTTTTAAGTTTTTAATATGAAGGCATGTATATATTTTGCCTAATTGCTTTGGAAGTATCTTCTGGGTTGATCAAACATGAGAAATTTTGTATCTTCTTTTGACTTGTTGGCTAGAAATAGCTTGTGGCTTGATATAAATGCCTTCTATCTGAAATGTTTATGCTGTTATTCTGATTGGCTGTTTTTTTTTATCATTCAGAAATTTTATATGATAGGAAGGGACAAGAGTAGAACATATTGGCGTGTGTTAACCATAGATAGGTCAGAACCATGTGAACTTAACATTCACGAAGATCCTACTACATATACTGAAAGTGAATGCAACGAAATTTTGAAACGGATACATGAAGGAAATAAGTCCATTGGTGGACTTAAATTTGTCACTACTTGCTATGGAATTGTTGGTATGTTATTTTATATGATCCTATAACTTACACTTTGTTTGGATAGGAAGAAATGGAAGGAAAAGAAGAGAAGAGAAATGGAGGGGGACAAAATCTCTTGTTTGGGTAAAAGATTGGGGGAAGGGAGGGGAAGGAGAGGGAGGGATCCATTTTCCCTTTCTCTATAATAACCATAATCTCTCCAAAATTGGAGAGATTTGGAGGGAAAATGGAGCTCACCTCCCCCTCCCTTTCTTTTCCCTTCCCTTCCTCCATTTTCCCTCCCCTTCTTTTCCTTCCTTCTTTGCTATCCAAACAAAGCGTTAGTCTATTGTTAAATGGTTAGTAAGTTGACCTTAACTTCTCTTCTCATTTTTTAGGATTTGTTAAATTTCTGGGGCCTTATTATATGCTGCTAATCACTCAAAGGAGGAAAATTGGCTCAATATGTGGCCACATGATATATGCTATCTCAAAGAGTGAGATAATTGCTCTTCCAGATTCTGCAGAGCAAAGCCATATGACGAACTCAAGGAATGAATACAGGTATACTAATCACGGACTTCTGGATACTTTTCCTTGAATATATACATGAATTTATACTGATGCGGTTCTCTCTTATCTTCTCTAGCACCACAGTAGACCTAAATAATTTGGTACAATAAATTATAACTTGAACCAGTGACTTGACTGACTTCTCTAAGTACTGCTGTTTTCTTCCATTAATCAATATAATGGCTAAAAAATTAGCTTCTTGCATTGCGTACACTACTACGCTCAGGAACTTTTATCTCTTGACTTTATGGAAATGAACTCTTTCTAGTTACCAACATGAATAAGTTGAGTTGGGTCTGTGTAAACATCTTCTTCGTCATTCTCTCTCTTGCCTTTATTTATATATGTATTTCCTCCGTTCTTTTTTACTTGACCCGGTTTGACTTTTACACTATTCACCACCCCTCCTTTGACCGTGTTTTGTGAATAATATGTAAGGAAAAACATATTTATGTTGGATCATTTTGAATTCATCTCAATAAGTACTATCATAATATATAACTTTTATATTTTTTAATTATGGAGAATTAAAGTTATTGACTGTTAAAATTTTGCATTGGCAAGCGTGATAAAAGAAACAGGTCAAGTAAAAAAAAACAGAGGAAGTATATTTTTTAATTTTTTTATGAAAAAATTTTGTTAGATTGTGGCTTGAATGAAGTGAATAGGATTGAGTTCATTTCTACTCTACCTACTGTCTTTGATGGGACACGATGTTCTCTCTAACTATTTTCTCTTCTACTGTCTCTGCGTATAGTTTGTTGTAAATCTTAGCTTACTTCTCTCCCCTGTCTGTCTTAGGAGTAGGAGAAATTCAGATGCATATTTAACAAATACATACATAAAAAAAAATTTAGTGTGCTGTATAAACTTGCATGGTTATCCAAAATGGAGCCTTAGACTTTTAGGGGTGACTTAAAGGAGAGCCCCCTGGAGACAAGGGAATGGGAAGATTTCTTCTCTCAGCTTCCTTCCCTGATCTGCATGCATCTGTCATTATTGAGAGTGATCAGTTATGTAAACCAATGCGTAGTTTTATTGAAGTGTGGTATCTTTTTTTCTCTGTCAAAAGCACAGATCCCCACTTTGCTGGAACTTGGGAGGATATGGTTCCATCCTTCTGTTTGTTTGTTTGTTTGTTGATGGCAACATACTTCTGTATTGCAATGTTGATTGGAAAACTGTTGATATTGAGCTAGATGGAGAGCAACTGATTAACCTTCAGTTACTGCTAAAACTGCTGTTGTTCTTCATGATGGATCATAGTCCCTTCTAAAATATCACCTGCCCACTCTGAGTTAGTATAAGACAATGAGCAAGTAGTGGCCATATCTTTAGGCATTAACAGTATTCTCAATGGTTAAAGAGGAGAACAATGGGTGGAAACATAATCTAAGAAACAGACAGTGGAGTCAAAAGCTTATGACGTAAGGCTAATGCTGAGCTAAGCTTGCTGACATTAGAGACCAATTGATTGTAGCAAGGAAGCAACAATAGAAGCTTACGTTACTGTTGCTATTGTTGTACCTGCTGTTGTAACAACTATTGTGATAGGAAAGGAGTGTGAGGGTGTTAGATGCCTCTCATTATTTCAAGGAGGGGACAATAGAAATTAAGTGACTTGTGATAGATTTATTTATTTTTCACCCTTTTTAGAGGTGTGGAATGATGTGGAATGCAAGGAAAGGCAGTAATTTGAAGTTCAAGATTAGGGAACACATCCTTGTTCTAGGAAATTTAAAAATTAATATGTTGTTGTAAACTCAATTTTCTTATATTTTAAAAATATCTTATAGGGGTATTTTTGTTAGATTGGTAAATCTTATAATATCAGTTTATCACGATTAGAAAATTGATATATGAGTTGCATTTAGATATTAGTTCTTTTATTAATCTGGAAAGTAGTGTTTCCCGGGTATAGATTCCCTAATTATGCATTGTTACTTGTCAGGAAATTGGATGTTGTCTGTAGAATTTTGATTGGAAACAATGACCATCATGTAGTATCTAGCCAGTTTCAGGTGTTTCCTTCTTTCTTTTGTTGTTGTTGTTGTTGTTGTTTTTTTTTTTTTTTTTTTTTTTTTTTTCCTTTTAGGTTCAATTTATATCTTGCTTTTGGCTTACTATATCGTCTAATAGGATCAATCCATGAAATCGGATGTATTAACAAGTTTATGTGTGTGGGTGGGTCGATGGATGTGGGTGTTGGAGTCTGATGTCTTGGAGTTGGCCATCTGAACCAAACCAAAGGACTATAGTTTATCTTACTAAGGGTCGTTTGGTTGGAGCTTTTGGAATGGAGTTAAATTCCATTCCATCATTTTATTGTTTGGTAAGGACTTAACCTTTTAGGTATGGAATCTCATACCAAGGGGGTTCTACTTCCACCACATCCCCCTAGACCCATACCCACCTTCCCCCTAAGATGCACAATCCATTCCTTTAATGACATGTAAAAACCATTGCAAAGAATAAACCAAACAAGTTTAGACAAGTATGAGGCCCATACCTCTCTAGTATGATATCCGAGATCAATTTATTTCAATTTAACGAACCAAATGACCCCTAAGTAGGGTTTACTAAGCTGGCTGGGTACTTGAACTTGCTGCAATCTTAGTAATCTGGATGGTGGTGTATGCTCAACTTAGGAAAGTTAAGATAGCTGGATTTCTCTTGTTATTAGTTGGCATTTTATATGCCTTTTCGGCTCTTTCTCCTTTTTAAATAGAAAAGGGTCAACCACACTCCCAATAGATGTTTCTATGTTGAGCTGCTGTACTTTTGTCTTTATTGCACCTATTGTGTATTCATTTTCTTAAGTGGCGTATGAGTTTATATAGCTTTATCTTTGGAACATAATTCATTTGGTGAAAGTTAAGACCTGCACAAATTGATTTAAAAAGTTAATTGGTGGTTTTCCTTGTCTCAATTTCATGTGTTGCCAAATTCCAATAATTCTTAGTGCAGAATTGCTTTCATTTTTGTTAAATCTTTATTGTGCTGGTTGTGCAGGTATAAGAAGCTTCTGTGCATGGTTGATCTTACGAAGGACTTCTTCTTCAGCTATTCATATCATGTCATGCGTACTCTACAGAGGAACCTGTGTGATAGACAGACAGGGCATGTCCTCTATGAAACTATGTTTGTCTGGAATGAATTTTTGACCCGTGGAATTCGAAGTCATCTCCAAAACACACTATGGACTGTTGCATTGGTTTATGGTTTTTTTAAGCAAGTGAGTGTTGAACTTGTCTCCTAGTTTGTTGTTAATGCTGTGGTCTGGAACACAAAGTTAATTGTCAGAATATGAGATGCACATGATGACCAATAGCTTTTTAATTAATTAGTTAATATTTTTTTTTAAAATTTCTGAATTTTCATTTACATTGTCTACTGCTGTCCACCTGTGTTCTATCGACCTTATCCTTTTTTTTAATGGTATAATTGTAATATTCTTCTTATTTTTGTATACTTCAGGGGACACTCTCTATAGCTGGGAGCGACTTTAAGCTAACCCTTATAGCTAGGCGTTCACGTCATTATGCCGGTACAAGGTTGGCTCACAGTTCTCAATACATCTCCTGTCAATTATGAAATCTTATTGAGTCATTTTTCCTGTCCTAAACTTTGTTTATATAAACAATTCTTGTTATCTGTATATTATTTTAAAAATTAGAAAAATGACTTCGATTTATATGGTTAGTGAATTATGTTAAAATAATTCTTAATAGTCGATACTATGTTACACCACTTATTTGACATGTAGATTGAAATTTTTTCTTCTGACCTAAGTTGGCAATTCCCGTCTATGGTCCAATTGCTTTTGACTAGGTATCTTAAACGAGGAGTTAATGAAAAAGGGCGAGTGGCAAATGATGTTGAAACGGAACAGATTGTATTCGAGGATGTTGCTGAAGGATTACCTGTGCGAATTAGTTCTGTCGTCCAGAATCGTGGCTCTATTCCTCTTTTTTGGTCACAGGAAACTTCTCGCTTAAATATTAAGCCTGATATTATATGTACGTTTTTCTTAATTATCGCAGCCCTCAGCTTGTTATTGTTGTTAGCATTAATGTTATTAGTGTTACTAAATATTGGCACCAAAAACAATCTCTTTGATTTTAGTATGGTGATTGGTAAGGCTACATACATGCTATTCTTCTCAAATAAGGATGAATACATACATTTTAAATTGGGGTGTAAAATAAATAAATAAATACGAAGTATACTGTACACAAACACCCCCAGCCCATCTTCTCTTAGTGGTGGTGGTGGTGGATTGTGGTTGGCGTCAGAAGTAAATATGTTCGTTATCTTCTTAGTACAAGCTTAGCCAAAATAAGCACAATTGCAATCCTAATTAATCAACTACAATCCCGAGATCGTTAATGTAACTTTTTACTTGTTTGGGAGTAGGAAATGTGAAGAATGCATGGAATTATTCTCTTTCAGTCTATGCTTTTGTTTAGCATGGTGTAACATAATTAGGAACATAACCAGTATGCATACTTGTATAACTAAAGGCAATTGTCTATTTAAAGATCTTCATGTGGCTCATTGACATGCTTGGTTCATAAGACTTACTATTAATGTATATATGTTGGGATAATAATAGATTAAAATTAAGGAAAAGTTGAACATGCTAATGTTGCACCCTTGATCTCACCTTTTATAAGTTTATAATTTAAAAATATCATAACAAATAAGATTTAACAACATATTAATAATATTACTAAAATAAGTGCATTTTAAGGTGTCAAAAGAGAAGATCCATGAGAGTAAATCAGGGTAGTATTAATTCTACTTCCTATTTCATGATTGCCATTCATAGAATTGCACCAATAACTTGTTGGATGTCTCAATTTCTTCTAATTGATAGTCGTTAATGGTGCTTTTTATGTGTATTGAATGAAAGGATGATTACATATTCATTTATTTTAAGTCCGCCTTGATCCTTAAATTTTGGGAAACATTGAAATAAACCTCAAGAGCCGACTCTCCGCTTTGCAAAATTCGTAAAAATGAATTAAAAAAAAAAAAAGTCCCTACTTGTTTATATAGGAGGGAGCCTGGTTGTGTCTCCCTTTATAATTTGAATGAGTTCGGTGGTGCCTGGTGGTGTTTCATTTTATAAAAAATCTGCAGTTCAGTAACTTAAGTTTTGATAAGAAAAGCCCTCATCAATAGCATTTATTGCCTTAATGTTATAGTTACTCTTTCTAGATTAGTCAGTCAGTCAATTGATATTGTTGTTTTGGGAATAGTGTTTGCAAATAAAGTTTAGTATTGACAAAGCTATTACCTTTGCCAAAATAATAATTCTTTGTGATTGAAATTTCTTAATATATTCAGCTGAATTTGAGTCATGGGGAGATGATGGAATGGTACAGCTATGATATAAGGTTATTTTGATGAAAATTTATCTTGTTAATCAAACATAGTGAATAAACCAATATATTAAGATTTTTTTGTGAAAAACCCGGAGCCAAGAACTAGACATATCTATAATGAGGTGGCAATCTCTGCATCGCTTTATCCTTTCTTATATTGAGAAAGTAAATAATTTATGTAATATTAGAGCATTACTTGATTATTTTCTAATAAACACCTGGCCTTATTTTGTTGCTCTCTGTAGTAGATTTAATATCATTTCCTTTTCAGTAAAGCAAGATATAGCGATAATTTTTTTATTTTTGATGCTGTTTCTCTTTTCAGTATCTAAGAAAGATCAGAATTATGAAGCTACAAGGCTCCATTTTGAAAATCTTACCAAGCGATATGGCAATCCAATAATCATTTTAAATCTGATCAAGGTATGTTTACCAGAATTTTTACGCTGTAGTGATTTTCTTTTTATGATTGATCTGATTGTCAGGCAGCCAGTCATAAAACATGTAAAAGAAGCCTGAAAGACCGTAAACTGAACCTTAGGGATGTCTCTGGTGATCTGATGCATTTTCCTCTTTGAAGTCATTATTGTGATAAAAAATCAACATTTACAGATCCTATGCATTACTTCTGCAGAACAGGATTCAGTTATCCCATATTTTGTAGCTGAATTCAACAAGTAAACAGATGTGTCCTCTCCTTGGTTACTTAGACTTGTCATTAGTGTAAATTGACCATATCCATATCAAAAGTTTAGTATCCAGCATGGGCATTTGAGGCAAAATGATATTTTGAGTAACAAATTGAGTAGGATTTTAAGAATCTCTAGTGTTCGAAGCAGAATAAGTTCTGATTGCGTATGCTATCATCTTTCTTGAACAGACGGCTGAAAAGAGGCCACGAGAGTCTATTCTGCGTCAAGAGTTTGCAAATGCAATTGAATTTATTAATAAAGATTTGCCTGAAGAAAAACGCTTGAAGTTCCTGCACTGGGATTTGAATAAACATTCACGAAGGTAATTTATGTCTGTCATTCTTATACTCCCAAAATCTCTAATTTAAGCTTTTCAATAATTAACATTAGGCCTGAGTATTCTGTTTTCCTCTTCCAGCAAATCTACAAATGTGTTGCTTCTCCTAGGAAAAGTTGCTGCATATGCATTGACACTAACAGGATTCTTTTACTGTCAACTACTACCAGCTGCCGGGTCTGGTGATCCTCTAGAATGTCCATCTTCTGGGTAAGTTATCTCATAAGAAATTCTTGATGGTGTTATGTAGGAATTCATTTCTTGTTCTGTCTATATCCTTACAAAAGTAAGAGAATCAAGTCAGAAAGTTATTTTTTTGTGATCCTATTGGAATTTATGTTTTGATTGAGCACGCATGTTTGTAGCTTACATAATGGGAACTCTTTTTTCGTCGGGAAGCTGTTATATTGCTATACACATGGTTTATAATTCATGATAATCTTTCCAAGTTATATGATATGCACGTTTTATTATCTACCGGGTCTGTATATGGTGTCAGGCATGAGAATAATGAATAAGGAAGGCAGAAAAGTTTCAAAAGCCAATTACATCAATAACATATTATTATCGTTTGCGGCAAATGTTTGTTTGTTAAATTTATGTTGAAGGACTCAACATTGATTTAAGAGGGCAATGTGTCTTTCAATTTCCGTAATTCTCATGCCCACTGGGTTAACTTTTTCATTTTTATATTTCATGAGTTTAGTGCCCACTCAAGATGTGGTAATGCTTGTGTTTTGGAAGTATAGATGTCTAAGTTCTTATGCTGCGAACTTTATACTTTGTCTGTCTACCTTCTGGTATCAGGGAATAATTTTGATAGGTTTATTCTTATGAGGTCTCTAATCTAGACTGTGATATCTGTCTGTCTATATTTCCTTCTTTGTCATATCTATGCTGATATTCCAGGTTGATCTTAAGTTTTTTTGTAACAAATGTGGCTGCCAGAACAGTTTAAGTGATAGCTGTATGTTATTGACAACTGAAAATCTGGCTAGTCTAGTTTGTGGTGATATGACTCCTGGGAATAAAGTTAACTTTTAAAAAATAATGCAGGGACTTCGAGACAATAGACTCTTCTGAACAGAATGATCCTCTTTTTGGCTGTGAGGATGTGGATAATGTTGAAGGAGATGCTGGTGAAAATAAAACCAATGGAGATTTTGCTGACAGGAAGCCAATGTTCCAAAATGGCGTTTTAAGGACCAATTGCATAGATTGCCTAGATCGCACAAATGTTGCACAGTTTGCCTATGGATTAGCTGCCCTTGGACACCAGCTTCACTCTCTAGATATGATAGATGTTCCGAAGGTAGACCTTAACTCACAGCTAGCTGATAGTTTGATGGGGTTCTATGAGAAAATGGGGGACACTCTTGCACATCAGTATGGAGGCTCTGCTGCTCACAACAAGGTATGTATACTGCTGAGCATTTTTGACAAGTTGTTTCTTTCTATATGAATTTCTTTAGTACTTTGGCTGGTAGTATGACTTGTAATCCTCTACTAAAAAGATAGAAATTAAGAAAGTTGAATCATATGACTTGAAGCATCTGTATAATGTTCCATCATTCGGATTATGTATGTTCATGCATTCACAGAGATTGGGTAGTTTTAAAAAGATTTAGATTATTTCTAGCTGGTGTACCAACTCGTTAGAAACGAATAAAAAAGATATTATTTTGCAATGAACCAAGGTGCATGGCCACGTGGACTGATCACATATGAAAGAAGGGGCGAGAGGAACCATCAGGAGGGGTGGTAGTGGAGCAGCAATATTAGAGAAAAGAAGACAAATGATTGCAGGGGGTAGGTGGGATCTTTTTGACAGCTTTTGGCTTTGAGAATGTGTACATTTATAAAGGGGAAGAAGGGTAACACATGGACAGCTTTTGTATGATGAATTAAATTGTGAGAGTGGTGACCTAAAGTCACCTAGTGGAGGTTGGTGGCCTCAAACCACCTTTGTAAGCAACCCTTCTTAGTTCATCAATCAAAAAATCTTTTTTATTTTGTCAGTCAGATTTTCTTGTTTAATTTCTCTAGCATATTGTTGTTATTGGTTGTAGATTGTTACATATTTTTAGTGAGTATTCCTTCCTTATGATCCAACCTGCTGTCTAAGGGGATGGAATTTCCTTTTGAATTCTAAGATTCTTTTGGAAAGTATCATTGCTTTAATGGCCAAGTAAGAGGAACGGCTATTATCATTATGGGTTTTGAGTTGGTAAGGTAGTGGGATTAGAGAAGGAAGACAAGCAATGTGATAAATTGACTGTAATTTCTGCTAAAACTAGGGTGAAAACCTTAAATATTAGGCATCATCTTTAGCTAGTGTTTAGTCAGGAGAACCATCATTTGTAAAAGACCCCATTAGTCTTTCCCTGTTGTATTACGTGGGAGGTGTTGGGGGTGAGGCCATCTTGGGCATGGGAAAGAAGCTGAACAGAAACGTTGCTGATGCTTGTTTAGTCACTGAGGATATGTCCACAGGTCAACACCCCCCTGCTCCTCACTACCAAGGCAGGGACAGTCATTTGATATGCAAAGGCATTTTCAATCTTTGGTTGCCTGAGTATGTTTTTACTATAATATTTTCACCCTTCCGATGCACACACGCATACCAACAAATAATAAGAAAGAACAGGGAAAAGCAGACCACTTGAAATATGAATCTTTTGCACTTGTAGATATTCTCTCAAAGAAGGGGTCAGTGGAAAGCAGCGACCCAATCCCAGGAATTCTTCAGAACTCTGCAAAGATATTATAGCAATGCATATATGGATGCAGAGAAGCAAAATGCTATTAATGTGTAAGTTCACTTTGACTTCCTGTAAACAATTTTTTTTGTTGCTTATGCTGTCTGCAAAGCGGTCTTAATAGATTCTTACACAAACAGGTTATTTCCATCATTGTATTCCCATTGGACATTAGAAAATTATTAATGTGGCTTTTTGACAAGCATGGTAGCTTCGTACTGCATAAATATGTTACCTTGTTGGGTTCAGCCATCAAATTAACAGAAATATTGCTTATGCTCTTCGACATTGTCGCTAAATCAATATTGTGCAGATTCCTGGGACATTTCCAACCGCAGCAGGGGAAGCCAGCTCTGTGGGATTTGGGCTCCGATTACAACTGCACTGCGGGGAGAAATGGGCAAATGGATGTTGATGAAAATGGAAGGTAATTGTAGTTCGGGAGTTGAACATTTGGATTAGGCACTGTTTAATTTTGAATTCCTGCTTAAATTTTTGATGATTTGTAGTTTTGAGGTAACTAAATATGTTCCATTTCGGGGAAAGACGCCATAGTATTTCTACGCATGATTTGCTGGAACACTATATTTTTGAGGCTGAACATACTTGATGCAGAGAGTATATTTTCTACAAGGTTTATTCATGTAATTGGGTGGTGTGGCTTGTGGAATTCCACATGCTATTTGCCGACCTCATAGTTTTCTTCCTTTGCAATATTAATATTTGATGTTGCTAATAAAATCTGGAAATAAACGATTATGATCATTGCTTAACCTTCTGGTGTTAGGTCTTTATTCAAAAGATGCTGGTCAGATGGAAACATGCTGCGTGGAAGAGACACTCCCATTTCATCGAGACATGTACTACAGGAGAATTTTACAAACTTGGTATTCCCTGATACATCTGAAGGTTCTAACCGGATTATGGTTGAATCATCTCCTGATATGTCACATAAGGAAAATGATACGTCATATTACAGGTTTGATTCACTGTGATGTTTTGCGGTATTTAAACGTTCTATATACTATATTATATGTTTCATATCTCATATTACTGTTTGCTTCGAAATAGGTGTAGGGTGATATTTGTTGATGCACTTGTCATTATACTATACTAGTATACTTTATAAGAATGAGACCTGAAATTTATTTGATGATGTTTGCTGCAAGTTTATATACAAATGTGTGATTGTTTCCATAGATAATTCCGTGTCATGATTTTTTGGGAATGTTGGCCTGTTGGGTAGCTTGGGACAGCAGATTTGCCTTCCAGACTTCCAGTTGATGAGAGTACAATAAAGGAAGGTTCAAATTTATTTTCATGTTATAGTATCTATGATACTTTCCTTATTCCATTGTCCATTTACTTTTGTCTATTTTACACATGCATGATTAATGTAATAACTGTTGCATGGGTTAGTACTTAGTAGATGCTAAATAATGGACTCAGACTCACTGAAATTGGCCACAGCTTAGTAACTTTTTTTTTTATATATATTTGACTATAATCTCTCTCTTAAATGACTAAGTAGGTTATGAATCAAGAAATGGAGCTATATTTTTTTTTTTCCCTTTCATATCTCCACTTTGAGACTCCAAGTGCTAGGGTTCAGTTCCTCCGATTAGAAGATTGCGAGACATTTTTATACAAAATGGAATACTATGGGATAGAAAGGAATTTGTTTTGGGGCAGGTAAAGGAGGATGATAGGTTTTATTAAGACCCTTTGAGAGGGCGTTTAATGTTGTTGCATTGGCATCATTAAAACAAAAAATATAAGGGCCTCAGCCAATGAAAGAAAAGTGTTTAAGGGGAGGAAGACGAGAAAATTAGGAATTTACAAAGGAGCTTAAATTTTACCTAGAAGCCATCTCTTCTTAGAGCAGATTTGAGGACAGCTCAGCATGTGACTTATCTGATGGTATTACGTTCTAATGCGTCCCTTCAAATTAGCATTATAGTATACTGCTCTTCCATCAATAATGTGCTACATCCACATTTAATCTGAGATTTTAATTAAGAAATTGAATCAAAGTACCATAATTGGGTAGTATCTTATCTCTTCCATGAAACTAAGTCACCTTCACTTGGAATTAGTAGTTTAACACTTCCTCTATATTCTTTTACTTGCAACACAGGTTTAAAGCACCCAATTTTAGGAAGTGGTTAGAGGAAGGTAAATGTACGACTATTAAAATATTTTTTACACCAGGAGTATTGAAGGGTTAGGTATTATGTGTATAAATAATTTTGATTAATATGTTCGATTAGATTGTTAAATATCTTCCTTAAAGTGCGTGGCGTGAGGCTTTGTTGCAAGTAAAGAAATGGTGGAAGTTATACTAGCTAGGGTAATATAGGAAAGACCAATGATTAGATTTCTAAAGTTAGGAAGTGGTATCAAAATTTGGGAGGGCTCAAGATAGGTACATGGTTCTTCTGGATTAGTGTAGTTGTTACTGAATATGCATTCCCTTAATTCCTATTTGAGAGCATAAAAAGATTTGAGATTCCACTGTTAGCTTGTCAGACTGAAAATTCATTCTTATGTGCTCTTTTGTTGTAGCCTGCTTAATATAAAATCAGTTGGAAATCTTAGGGTGTCTTACAGATCTTGCAATATAACTTCAACCCTTGCTTTAAGTAATTCTAAGAAATCAGTTCTTTCGAAGATTTGGATAAGGTTAGATGGGTGGTAGATGATTTACTTTTTCCTCGGTGGCAGAATTACTCTGATCAAACTTGCCTGTATTAGCTGTCTTTGTTTAAGGTTACAGTGGCTAATGCACATAAGAATGAGATGCTGATAAGTTTATGGTTTGATTGTTTGAAGCAGAGGAGAGGTCTGAAATGATTACCTAGTTTGTTTGGGTGGAGTATTTTGGCTGAAAACGAAGGGATATTAGGGTTTGTCCTATAAAGAATTGGTTTTAAAACTGTTTTGTGAGGTTTAGAAGAGGCAAGGAGAAGTTAAGCAAAATATCATGATGGCATCTTGTGGACCATATTGCTAGAACAGAAATGGAGCTACTTCATCTCTTGCTTGTTTTGTATAAAAGATACAAATGGAATAATTTGTAAATATTTAGCTGTGTTTTTCACTTTCTCCTAGAGGAACACTTTGTCCTCTTGATGTATTCCTCTTTTCGAGCTCTAATAAAATGCTTATAAAAAAATTCTACGGGGTGAAAAAAAATGTTTTATCAACATGCAACTCAATGAATCAATCAATCAAAATCTTAATCCCATAAGTGGGGACGGCTACATCAACATGCAAGTATGCAACTCTTGAAGAAATACTAGTATAGTCTTGACTAGAAGTACTTTCTTATCAACAAGTGTCTTCTTCTGCTAAGACATTGGTGAACATTGTTTAAAACTGACTTAACCAATCAGGAGTATCAGTGGAATTAAAGTCAGCAATGTAATTAGTTCTTTTTTACCATTCTTGCATGTGGATATTATCTCTCTACAGAGTTGGGTCACACTGTTAATTTATTCTGTTCGTTTGTATTTTTAATTCAGTGGCTTATGCTTCAATGTTAGAGCTTCATGTCTTGCAGCTCTTTAGTCAGTTCATTTCTAATGCATAGTGCGTTTATTTCCTTAACTGTCTTTGTGACAGATATTCCCAAACTATGCCTCGCAAGCAGCTTTTTGGAGATGTGCAAAGAGAATATTATGCTGAGAATGATAATGTCAACGTCCATGAACGCGTAGATACAGTAGATAGCTCAAATTTTGTAGACTTGGATTGGCTTTCTTCTTCTGGATATTCATGTGGGGAAGAGTCTTGTGAGAGGTAAATTGTTGAGTTTCTTATAAGTTTAGTGCATGTATTCCAGTATTGGCGGTTAATCTGAAGCTTGATGGTTTTATCAGTACTAGATTACGGTAGCAAAGAAATTCCATGGATCTTATTGGTTCTTTGGATTCTGCAGATGTAGAAATAGAGAGCATAGAAAAAAGGAGTAATGACCTAAAAGTTTTGTTCTGTTTTAGCTGTGTAGTTAAAGAAATTATAACTCAATGAGTACAAAGAGATGAGTTGAAAATATTATAAATCTAATAACAAAATAGTAATCAATAGGCAACCTTATTTCATTTCACTAGCACTTTTACATGAACTCACAGTCTTTGCATTTCACTCAATTTCCTTATGTACCTGGCAGTCACATTCTTGAACGTTGTTTAGCCTGATTTTTTTAGTTGGGAATTGGGATATGTACTTCCACTAGAAATAGTTTGAGTAGTAGTAGTGTTTTTTTGTTTTTTTTTGGTATAAAATCTATAAATGTATATGTTCCTTTATTAACTGAATATAATTGATCTTCATAACTCATGAAAGAGTTGGAATGGGTTAAAGACAAAATTTGAATGTGCATTTGTTGTATGTATATTATTACAGCTTAATATAGGTAGGAGGAGGTACATGAAATTAATGTTGGATTTAGGAGGAGGTAACACGTGAGGGGAGATTCTAGAATTCATCTTCCAATATATGGAATTACTGTTCTTGTGCTGATAAGGAAACAAAAGATTACTTTCTCTAAACCTTTTTGCACTATATAATCAAATACGATTAACCATGGCTATATTTTTATTGTAAAACAACCATATCATTGACATAGATACAGGTTCATGAAGGAAGGATTAACCTTCCTTCTTCTAGAATGCAGTAATGTTCTTTGTTGTTGAGAGTATGGTGGATATCCCTTCACATTATATACAAAATACAATTAAATAACGAGGCAGAGCTGCAGAGGAAAATATTTCCTGAGCAAATGGAGACAATTTGTCATGTTATCTCTTATTAAATGCTTTTGACATGCAATGGTCATATGGAGGTAATAGCTGTTGTATGCTTTTAGGTAAATTGTAACTGCCAGTATTTGGGTACCTACAGTTAGGGTTGCCAGTATTTAGGATTGTATACTGTTATTTTGTTATCTTTGCTTTTAGACAAACTATCTTGTGATAAACATTTTCTTAGATAATTACTGTTGAAAATAAAAAGGTTTATGCCTGAGAATCATTGGAACATACTTCCTCTGTTCCAAAGTAGTTGATATATATATATGTAGGGGCAGACTCTCGTGAGAATTTTTCTTATGTGGAGAACACTTTTTATGTTCTAAATTTTTACTCGTATGTTCTAAATTTTAGATCTGATGTTCTACACTTTTTCCCATTAGATGTTCTAATTAGTACTCACATGTTCTAAACCATAAATTAGTTTAGTTAGATGTTATAAATTTTGAATGACTTATTTCGAAATTTTAACTTACTTGTTCTAAATTTTTAAACGTGCGTGTGTTTTAAGATTTTTAGTTATATGTTCTAAATTCGAAAGCATATGTTCCAATTTTTACTCACATGTTCTATATTTTTACTTATATATTCAATATTTTTACTCCCATTTTCTATATTTTATACCAAGTGTTCTAAATTTGTTTATTCACATGTTCTAAATTTTAAATCAGATATTCTAAATTTTAATCATATGTTCTAAATTTCATTAAGCAAATTTTTTAAATTTTTACTTACATGTTCTAATTATTGAATCACATGTTCTAAATTATTGCTCACACACATGTTCAAAATTATTAGTCATATGTTCTAAATTTAAATTTGAGTCGCATGTTCTAAATTTTACTCGTATGTTCTAAATTTTTACTCACGTATATATAGGATCCAGTGAGAATAGGTCCATATGTGAGAATTCATACTTATATGAGAACTGATCTATAACTTAGAACACGGAGTAAAATTTAGAATATGCAACTCAAATTTAAATTTAGAACATATAACATCTGATTAAGAATTAGAATATGTGAGTAAAAATTAAAAAAAATCTGCTTTAGAAAACTAGAACATATGAGTAAAATTTTGAACATCTGATTTAAAATTTAGAACACCTGGTATAAAATATAGAAAATGGAAGTAAAAATGTAGAACATATGAGTAAAAATTTAAAACATGCGAGTAAAAATTGGAACATATGCTTTCAAATTTAGAACATATAACTAAAAATCTTAGAATACACGCACGTTTTAAAATTTAGAACATATAAGTTAAAATTCTGGAATAAGTCATTCAAAATTTATAATATCGAACTTTACTAATTTATGGTTTAGGACATGTGAGTACTAATTTAAAACAGAGTACATGGGGAAAAGTTTTAAATAACAGATTTAAAATTTAGAACATACGAGTAAAAAATTAGAACATAAAAAGTGTTCTCGCATAAGAAGAATTCTCACATAAAGGAGGGGTTCTCACGAGAGCCTTCCCATATATATATATATATATCAACTACTTTAATTATACTATTGTGAAAAATAATAAAAAATTTATTTTAATTAAGCAAGCATTAAAAACGGATCTACTATATTTTTCAGATCTATAATTCACACATGTTAGGCAAAGTAAAGTTTATAAATATTGTCAACATTCACAATGTTTCAATTAATTTGGAACGGAGGAAGTGTATCATTTGGTGAAGCATAAGATAACCCTCTCCTTCAATTGTTCCCCTTTCTTGCCTATCGTTGTAAATAATATAAAAGTGATAATGTGTCTGACTTAGGTCATTAGTTCCCCTCGGAAGTTAGTATGTGATGAGCTGTCAGTTGTCAATCTATTTGCCAACCACTTATATTCTATAATATCAGCACATTAAGGTTCTACCCTCAGCTGGTCTATATATATATATATATATAAGCTCAAGGAGACTGGAAATGAGAGAGGATTCTTACAAGTGTTACCACTAATGTTTTTATTGTTATTTTTTACAGGTCGATGTCTATGAATTCTCCACTTACTGGTGTATCATTGGATAATGTCATGAATGGAGTGACAGGAGAAACAACTCCATCCAGCAGTCAGTATGGATCAGGCATGAGGGTGAGTCCCTCACACAGTGAATTAGCAGTAGTAATCTATAGTTTTTTCTCAAAGTCCTTCCAAATTAGCTATTATGCACAATCTAATTATTTTGTATGTTTGGCAATCCATATAATGTTAGGTTTGTCAATCAGGGATTGATCACTTGAGCATTGATAAAATAAAACATATTGTCAGATGCTTTCATTGTCAGCTAAAGTATCTTTATGGAGTGATTAACACTTAACTACCTTAAATATTTAAGACTTTGACTTTATTTCTCTAATCACAAGTACTACACTACTACGTATATGAGATTTTTAGTTACAAACATGTTTAATGATGTTCCTGAGATGCAGTACATTTGAGAAGTCAGAACAGTCTAGGGAAGGGATTTGTTTGGGTGTCTTTATATATAGGATATAGTTTAGTGAGCTATTTTTACATCATTTTGAGTCGTATTGTGCAGTATTATTTGGCTTGGATTAATATGGATGTCTAAATGGCTCATGAAATTGTCTACACTTTAGTAAATAATCGTTGCATTTTCATACGAGGAGTCAACTATATATAGCTGTGCTGTTATTGTAGGAGTATGTTTACATTAATCCAACATGGTAAAAGACCTTTAGGTGGTGTTAGGAAAAGGGTTGTTAGTTAAAACTATAAAATTTCCAGCGTTGCTCTGGGGTACACTAAGGTAGATGGAATACTTATATTTGCGATCAAATTGTCTTGTGTAAAGATTAATGATACACCAAGGTGCTGTCTTTCTTTTCTTTTTTTTTTTTTTTTTTTTTTTTTTTTTTTTTTTTTTTTTAACTAGGATTTTGGAATTTTGTTTTATTAAAAAATATAGTTCAATACCTGTGTGAACTTTGTCTGCAATGTAAGAGGAGATATTTTACATGGAAAAAAGGACCACAAATTTTGTCTGAAATAGTTCTCAATCTCTTCCCCCATTCAAAGTTTTGATTATGTATTTAGGCACTTTGCTCAACATTCTTGTATGCTTATACTAGTCTATCTGGACAATTTGTTACAGACAAGGGAACAGACAGAAGGAGAACTATCATCATGTGGCCAGGTTAATGATTCTGTGCTAGAAGAATTCTCCGAAAGCTTTGTGCGTTGGGTTGTATCAGGAGAGTCGCTTTGCTTTTGAAAATTTTGAACTTTCTTGCTGTGGTTTCCTGTCTTCCTCCTGTCTGAAATTTTGAGATTGTGTGCGGAGCTCTTCCTTTGTTCTCCTTGTGAATGAATTCCATGCCCCTTCGTTTATCGTAAGAGTTGCGAAGTTAATGTAGAGCTTGTAGGCTAGAGAGTGAGCTGGTACCGTGAGAGTTGACAATGCTTAGTGGAGTGCTTGAGCAATTGCCTCACCTGTCATTTGAAAATCAGAAGCTGATGGTAAATAGCCAATAGTTTACAGATTCTTTTAGGAGTTTTTTTCTTCCTTTTCTTTGCTTTTTTTTTTTTTTTTTTTTCTTGTTTTCTCCTTGAACTATTTTCTTGTAAATATGTATCCTTTGCTCTTGTGAGCTCCTCTTGCAAATGTAGGCAGTTGATTCTTTTCATCTGTTTTAACAATAGATCGAATTGAAGGAATTTCATACTGAAAATGATAGAAGAAAGAGGACATTAAGGAATAGTTGGTTTTGTACAATTGTTGGACTGCTTTCTCAATGTCATTTTCAACTCCTTATTTCCTGAATTTCACCAATTATTCTTTAATTAAAATTTCATTTTACTTTTCTTCTTTTCCTTAATTTTTTTAATGAGAACTTGATGTGTAAAAATTTAGAAATGTGTATTTTATTGTAATAATATGAATTGTCTTCAAAGATACTTTCGTAGGCATCTTCTTTTAACATTAGAGTTTAAGTGTAACCATGTACTCTTTTGTATTTTGTACTTACCATTGCATATACTTCGATATACATATCGAAGATTGTCATTGGTAACATTGTATTTTTGCTTTCTTTGGTTAACATGAATGATGATTTGTGTTGGTATTGTTATTAAATAATCAGCCATTGTTAATTTTGAAGGTTAAGATTTGCCATTACTCTAAAATGGAGTATAAAACTTGTCCAAGTGGTTTAATTACCTACCCACGTGTTGGATTTTCCTTGGTGGAGTGATGATACTAGTATACATCGTAACGGGTATTGCTTGTATGGCTGCTACTAGTCTATCACTGCCGTACCTACCTATTAAAAGGCCAATTTAGGCCATCAATGGGGTTTAGTTGGATTGTGTTATTTGAAACTCGAGTTATGCTAAATTATTCTATCCTTGCATCAGGTCACTTTGATTAGGTTAGGTTGGTCGAGTACATTTTAACACTTATAAACCCACTTGCACAATATTTACACTTTTGCAATTTGTTGTACATCGAATGCCATGCGAAAAAAAAGACCATAAATCTGATGTTTTAGTTTAAAGATCTTGTTCTGACTGACAATTTTCCAAAAAAAAAATACAGAAAGTTGTGTTGGCTAATAAAAGCACACAACTATGGAGCCAAAATCTGAGACTGAGGCCTCCACGAATATGAGATTGACAAAGTCGCAAATTTTTAAAAACAAATTTGGATTTTAAACATATTAGAGCATAATTATTTCATGGATTCATAGATATAAATAACAAAGCAATTGACATTAATTTCGACTCTAGCCTATAAAGCGGGGTTTCAGGTTTCAAATAGGTTCAACTAGATTATCCCCGCTTTAACAAAAAAATTAGTGTAGTACTTGTGCATACAATGAATCTTATTAATTTTGGTATAAATTTACTGGAAGGAGTTTCTTGAAGGTAATACAATTTAAAGATTTTAGGAAATTTTTGAATGATTGAATATCAGTGTTAATGAATTGAGGAGAGAAAATGATAGATCTTTAAATCAAAACAAAGGAATAGAGTTGCTATTCAATATACTATACTCTGATTCTCTAGATTAAATTTGTTGAAAGAAATTACTTAGCTTGTTTACAAAGTATTACACAACCACCCCAAAAAAAAAAAAAAAAAAAAAAAAAATAACTATCACAAAATATGACATCAGCAAAGGATTTAGGCGGGAAATTTTTTTATAAAAAAGCAACACATATGCAGTTTTGAGGAGAGATAATGTCAACAATGTTTTGTTTTAGTAAATAGATTTCTAATCTTAGAAAACATAATTACACAAAAAGCTGAAAGAAAGCATATGGTGAAACTTGGGAGAAGGGATTAACTCAAAATTTGAGGCCATTTCTCAGTACATTAAGCATTCAAAAACTTTTGATGGTAAAAAGAAAACTGTATTCAGAGCATCTCAGGTAACAAAAATGGTCATCCATTCTCAAACACTCTTAACCAAAAGGAGTACAACGCTTAGAGGTCAACCAAGAATAGGGAAGATCCTAGTGATGTGCTCCAGCTGTATGCTATCTGCTGTATTTTTCTTCAACTCTGGGTGGTTGAATTCGTTGCGGGGGAGGATAATGATTTGACCCTTTCCGGAACTCTTTTCAAGAAGCCACCCACATTCTGTAACTTGTTGCTCCAGGAATTTGTCAAGGGCGAGACCTTCAATGTTAATAGCCTGTATAATTACAAGTAGAAAACCAAGATTAATGGCATCAACTATAACTCGCCTACAAAAACTTGAAAGCAGTGCGTTAACTAAAGTTCTTAGCCTCTTGATGTGATGGCTGTATTCATGTATGGTTGCACAATTACATTCATATAAATTCCGGGGCAAAACACATAATGATAAGTAATTCATTTTACATTGATGGTGCAAGAAAATTGAATGCATACCTCAGCAAGCACAGCTCTTGGCACCCGTTGACAAGTTAGTGAGAGAATATGAACTGCATAGGACTGAACTGCTTCCTCAAAACCTGCAATAACATGATCGTCAGCAACCTTTTCAGGAAAAGGGAAGGTCAAAAATAATAGTAGCGTACAAAAAAGTACCCAAAAGCTCATATAGCCCACTGGCTAAGGTAGAAAATTTAGAGTTTTTTGCTTTTCAATCCCAACCAACTGATATGATGCCCTTAGTGCTGGGACTCTATGAGCATAAAATAATTATAAAGAAAAATGTATTGGATAGATAATGGATTAATATTCAAAGAAGATTAAAAAGGAGGCTGGAAATGGAGAAAATAAGAGTGCATAAGCAATTTATGAGGAAACTGGGAACAACCGAACAAGGTAGTTTGAATTGAAAAGCAACAAATGGAAGCAACTAGTATTAGAGAGGCTAGTCTCTCCCAATCACAAAGATGCTAACTCATAATTTCTGAATGAAGCTACTAGTCTTTCCTTTTCGTCTATGTATTACATATATGTGATAATATGAACGGGCAAAGAAATCCAATCTTTTGTTTGGCTCAAGTTTACCTAATAACCTAAGACGTAGTGCGCTCCAATATGCAGAATGAATACAAATTCGCAATACGCTAGTTGGGAGTATTGTAATACATTTGAGATTTTTTTGTACCACGTTTTTATGGAGTAATTATATGATATCAATAATAGACACTAAAAAAATCTAAAGGGTTTTTATTTGAAAATTGGGAAAACTGGTATGAAATACTTATATCAGGAGTTCATGAAAGGGAGTAACCTTGCAAAAGAAACAAACAGGAAACCAAAGGAATCCCTTCCCCTCTTAAATCCTATTTCCCTGCATTGAGCTATCACAATACAGTAAATATGCTTATTTGGGAATATCACTATGCAAAAGTATTGAGTGTTGGTATGAAAGTATTAATACGGAATACGCGAGATGGGAGTATTAGGTAACCCTGATTCAGCAAATTTGATCCAAAATTTAGGAAATCTGATCCTGTTTTAAATGTTTCGGATATTTCAGATCAGATTTGTATTGCTTTTGAAAAGTTTCAAATATCCGAGAAAATACCAAAAGTAAAATCCTAGCATAGGAAGTAGTAAGCCCCCCTAACAACCTCGCACATCATACCAGATTCATTGAAGTTTATTAAAATACGATGTTAATGCCTTTTGTACACCTTCAAATATTAATGGATTATTATACTTATCTTTTAACTTTTTTTTTTTAATTAATGTTAAGTTTTTCTTTCTAATTGGTATATTCATTGAAGTTGAAAAATATAAGTGATAAAGCAAACTCTATAAAATTAGAAAATTAAGTAACTTGCAAATAATAAGAAATCATTGAGTTTTTCCAAGCGGATATTTGGTTATCTGATCTGAAATTTCAGATATCCGATTTTTTTTTTTATCTAATATCTGTTTTGGCCAAACCCATTATCACAGTGGCATACAAACAAAATTCTAATCCACAAAAAGATGCTAGAAATAGCAATGTCATAACTGCCTTCCTCATCATCCTTATATAGATGAAAGGTAACCATTCACACCAGGCACATCTAGGTAGGCTGAGTGACACAAAATTTTCAAAAGCACCTAAGAGATAATCCAAGGAATCCACTCTTAAGCTAAGTCTCTATGACATCCTAAACCCAGAGCCAAAGATCTGTACATACAGTCATACAGATAATTAAGGTGTAGCCTGTTCACTTCCTTCCAATAAGTCAGTTCCCCTTCACATCAAGCAGTCTGAGGAACTTACAACCCCTTTCTTCTCAATAATCCAAAATTATTTGTCAGTGTATGACAACTATCTTTTCTGTGCAAGTTTGGGTTTGGCCTTGCTTCTTTGAAAGAAAAATGACCTGATTTACTAGGCAGTTCGTCATGAATAAAGCCACAAAAAAATTATATATTCAGCAACACCACAACTGTTAATCACCCTCATCCATCACCCATTTAAGACAATGCACCTTCCACATCACTAATTATATCCATGCCTTCCCAATTGTACATCAGCTAAATGTTTGAAACTGTCAAAAAACAACCCCCCACCAGAAAATCCACTACTACCCAAGGTCAACGAAGCTCAGAGCCTCAGAGTAACACACTTCTCGTAGACATGAGCTAGATGTACAAAAGCCATACAAATCACTTCATAAGCAAATCTCTTCAATAAATCCTCTACATCCCCCAAAAAATATAGACCTACAAACTTAGAGGCAGAGACTATTTACCTGGAACTGCTTCAAGAATGTGGCGATTCTTGGATGCTTCTTCCCAAAATTGACGAAACCTAGCAGTCTGCAAGTAAAGAATCAATCAGATATTATTTCATGCATTCTATCCATGTTTCCTAGTGTAAATGCATCAGCTATACCTCTAGATAGTGAGAGAGAACAATCAACGTCTTGAACTGCTCTTCCATTTGCTGATAAATATTCCACAAGAAACATAAAAAATTTAGTCAACGGAAAAAAAACAAAAGGAATAAATATCACTCTTCAGCAGTTGTTTGGTACAAAAAATAAATGTTAGTCTACAGTCTGGACAGGAGTTACAGTAGAATAGCTTGGACCTCCGAAAAGCTCGGCATGACACAGTAGTATGTATCCAGTATGTATCCAGTTGAACCCATAGTGGATCGGGAAAGTTTTGATCAGATTTCTGTTATATAAACATTAGTTAAAAGGTCACAGGTTTGATGGTGCCCAGCATTGATTTTGTTGCTTCAATATTTTTTTTTTTTAATATGTGCACACCCAAATTATTAGTTGTATTTTGTATTTTGGATTATGCTATTTGGTTTCGTTATTATATGTGTGTAGTAAATCCGAACCCATAAAAATAATATCTTTACTAGTGTTGGTATTACAATTTTTACAAAATAAATAAAGTTCTGATCCACAATGAAACAAACCCCACCCCTTATTCTGACAATTGAGACTCCAACATATCAAGATGGTAACAGCCCTAAACATTTTAAGCGCCAAAATCTTCTATGCCACTCTAGGTTTGTACTTAGCAATATGGAAAGATCTACTCAATAACTCAGATTATATCATATAAGAGCTGCGTTGTTTGTTGATTTACAATATCAACATTAAAACAAGTTAAAAGTTGCTTGATTCCTAATGTATCAAGCAACTAATAGTATTGATATGACTTTAATTTGCTTATTCAGTTCCTATTATTCTAAGCAGCACACACTTCCAGTCATCATTTATATGTCATAAACTCATAACTCAGAAGGCCATGATCCTTCATTTCTAGTGTACCATAATATATACTCCGTATTTGTTATCAACAAATCAACAACACAAACAGAGCCACAAGAAAGGATTTAAATCACGAAATTAAAGCATTTTCATTTAGTAGGGCATAGTTGTAACAAAATATATATGCATTATAATCACATTAGAAAGAGAAGGAATAAGAAACTCATACCACACGTTCAGGAATCAAAAAGAGGCAAAGGCTAAAATCAGAAGCCGGCATTGCCATGAGTGCCTGTGTAGAACAAACAAGCAAAGGATGATTCATCAACAAAAAACAAGCCATATAATATCACAGAAAGCCTCATCTTGAAAAGCATTGCAAATGAAAGAAGGCAATGTAGCAAGTAAGACCTTGATCAAAATGCGGGCAATAATCTGGATGCTCATCCTCTCTGGTTCAAACTACATGGAGAACATTAAATCAGGCACTAAAAGAAGAAAACAAATGATTGCAATCTTTGCATCCATCTCAATGATCTAGTCATCAAATCGACATCATTCCTTTCACTGACTAAATTACGATGCAATTGAATTCGAAAACCTATACCTGGTAGAGCCGAAGAAGACAAAGATTCGCATCAAGACTGTATGATCCAGTCATAACCTGATATATGCAGGGAAACAACAGAATTCAAACAATAAACAATGTACATGTTTAAGTAATTTTATGGCTTAGTTAGCATCTTTAGACGAATTCTCTTTAAAGGTGTAACCTTTTCACTTAGTATCGAGTTGTGAAACAGATTACAAGCAACATTTCAGCATCTACTCAAATTCGATGAGAACCCTTCAAACCATCCCAATAAGACAAATTGAACCAAGGTACAATATACATACTTCAATCCTAAATTCACTAAATTAGTCATCTTCAAACCAATCCAATAAGACAAATTGTGCCAAGGTACAAAAATACATACTTCAATTCTAAATTCACAAAAATTAGTTAACAACCATAAATTTAAGTCTTTGTTTCCATTAATCATTCTATTTACTACAGAACAGAAACCTAAATTGTAAATAATTTGAACAAAATTACCTCCACATAATTAACCCTCTGATTAACAAACACAATTAAACAATACCCTCCTAAAATTTCCAAAATCAACAAATTTAAACAAATAAAAAACTACAGTATCAATAAATTAAAATTCGCTACTAATTAACATTAAAACTGTAAAAATTACAAATTAAAATCAATAAAAATAAAAAACCTGCTCATTGACGTAATTTTCAAGATCAGGAAGAATGTCAGGATTGTAAGGATTGAGAGCAACAAGCTGTTCAACAGTGTACGATGTCGCAGGCTGTTGTTGTTGCTGAGGTTGAGGTTGCTTCTGAATCTCTTTCCCCATTTTCTGTCACTCAAATTGAAAAACCCTAACCCTAATTTCTCGAAGAAAATAAGCAGCGAAAGAGGGAGAAAGATCGGTTGTGGGTTTTGGGTATCTGGGGAGGTGAGGAAGAAGAGCTAAAGGAGGAAGACGATTATGCTGTTTTAGGGTATACTTCTCTATGATAGAAATTTCCCAAATGACCAAACTAACCTCCAAGAAATTTGTTTTTAACAAGATTTGATCTTTGATTTTGTGTAAAATAATGTTTTTTTTTTGGTTTGTTAAATATTGTCCTTAAATATCTAATAAACACTCGTAAAATAAAATAAAATTACGTATTTATCCTTATAATAGCGATCATAAAAATAATTAATTTTACCTCAAATTTCACAATTTTAGTGTACACAAAACTTTTTACCGTTTTCTCCAGTGGTCAACGACCACTAACGCTCATCGAACAAAGACCCCAACCACCGTGAGTTTCAAAATCAAATAAATTTTTTAAAATTTTGCAAAATCAAATTCGTTAGATCTTATGGACAACGACAAAATACCAGAAACACAACCTTAGACGCTCGCCAAAGGCTCGTCGAACCGTACGAAATCGGTACGTCGCAATAATTCTTTTAAAAAAAATTCGAAACCCAAGAAATGCCTAGAATTTTCGAATACCCTAGGCTGAAACGCCTAGTTTTTTTCGAAACATCCTAGGCTATTCGAAAAAACTAGGCGTTTCAGCCTAAGGTACTCTAAAAAACTACGCGTTTCACCTCAAACGCCTAGATTTTTCATACAACCACACGGTTGTTCACATGAACTAGGCGTTTGAGCCTACGACGTGCGAAAAATCTAGGCGTTTGCCGCGAATTCAAAAAAAAAAAAAAAAAAAAAAAAAAAACATTTTCTCCGCCAGCGACCAACTTCCCTTTGTCCTTACTCGTCATTACCACGGCTGTGTAGATTGTGAAACCGGAGGTAAGGAATTGGTGGTTGAAAGAGGAGGAGGAGGTGGTAGTGGTGGTTAGTGTGAAGAGGTGGTAGTGGTGGGTGGTATGAAGAGGGGGTAATTTTTTTATTAAAAAAGGGTAAATTTGTAATTTTAGTTTATTTTGCAGGCGTTAGTTTGATATTCGAGGGCGTCGTTCAGCTTTCCACCACTTTTTTTTTTTTTTTTGAAACCAAATAATGTTATGTTTAGTTTATCTAATTTTGTCTTTTTTTTGACATCATTTATCTAATTTTGTCATATATAACATTATTTAAACTTATCCTCCGTATAATTTTTCAATAAATCTGTGTAAGGTGATGTGCGTTGATTTTATTGAAACACATTTGGTTTAAAGATAACTCTAACTATTTTCATAGTCTTTAATTTCTTAACGGATAGCTTTTATTTCGTCATTTCTTAAAATTTTATTTTTAATGTGTAATTTCTTATTGATTCATGATTGTATATTATGAAAATTAATATGATTAGTCTAATACATTATAAGTTTTTTGTAAGATAAAATTTATTATTAGAAAAATAATAACTTTTGTAGTATAAAAGGTAACTTTAAATACTTTTAAAATAACTTTAACCAATCTTATAATAAATTGTTGATTCATGATTATATATTATGAAAATTAATATGATTAGTCTAATACATTATAAGTTTTTTGTAATATAAAATTTATTATTAGAAAAACAATAACTTTAAATTTGTAGTATAAAAGGTAACTTTAAATACATTAAAGATAACTTTAACCAATCTTATAATAAATTGTCATACACGGTATTTTTAGAGAATTTATGATAAATTTTTTCATGATTTATGCGGCTTTAGAAAAATAGACCCTACAATAATTTTTGAACTCTGAATTAGTAATAATAGACAATTGTTTGCAAATTGTTGTATTACCTTAATGAAAGTCCGCCTTAATCAATAATAACTTTGTATCACCCAACACAAGCAAAGGATTTATAACCCCAAAAAAAAAATCGCGTAAAAGGGCATAAGAAAAAAAATGCAGAGGAAATATGCAAAAATAATACTAGCGAGTAGTAATTAATAAGCCTAACTAAAATTTCCATAAATAAAGGGAAAAAAAACCCTAGCCTCCTTTCAAATTTTACCAGTGGAAAGCCCCGATGTTTTTGTTTCTTAGGTTACAAATATCTTCCTCGAACAAAAGGGTTTATTTTCTTGAAAGACAGGATTTTTTCGATTGACAAGGTTTTAATTATTTGTGTTTAATTTAGTCTCCGGTTGTTCGGGACTACAATTGATTATGGCTTGGATTCGAGTTATGAAATCAGCGCAAGAATTTACTTTCTCACAAAATTGCGAAGCGAAGTCATATCCACCCAAAAGTTGTATGAGACAACGAATTGAGAATGTGCCGAATTGTTATATTTAAACATTTGGATTCTTAGCTCTTTCGCCGATTAATTTTTGTTTGATTTTGTTAAGACAAATTTGTTGAAAACCATTTTATAAAAACCAAATTTTGTTGAAAACCATCTTATAAATTTTATTTTGTTAAAGCACAACTGTTTAAATTTTTTTTTGTTGAATCCCACCACTTTTCGAATTTCGACTATTGATTGACATTTCTGACGTTAATTAGCATGTGCACCTCATGTGACCCACTTAATCCCAATTTCTATTATTCCCCCCCCCCCTCTTCCCTCCATTCATTCCCCCTAAGTCACTTACATTTCCGTGCAATTGTATAAAAGACTATGAAAACCAAATTATGATGCAGAGGAGTGACGAAGAGGGGAATGAGTGGAGGGAAAGGGGGGGAAATAAAAGAAAAGTGGATTTAAGTGGGTCACGTGATGTGTACATATTAGTCAATGCCGGAAATATAAGTAACTAGTCGGAAAAATTTTTTTGAACAGGTGTGCCTTGACAAATTTTTTTTTAAAACAAGTGTGTTTTGACAAAAAGTATTTTATAAGATGGTTTTCAACAAAATTTGGTTTTTATAAGATGGTTTTCAACAAATTTTCCTTTTGTTATATTTGTTTTCATTATCATTAATTGTCAATTGTAGATGTCGTATGACTTTAATTGATGAAATTTAGTGTGACTACTTAACAAAAAATTCCGTAAATAAACTTAATTAATGATATCAAAATTACAAAAATAATGAATCCTATACAAAAATAATAGTGACCGAATACTACTGAATGCTAATGAATGCTACTTCATTCTTGCGATCAATGCCAGCATACAATAATGGTGTATGGGATGATATATGACGAGGGCTGATATCCTCTAAAAAGCAAACATATCGGCCAGACAAGGGCTGATATGCTCTAAAAAGCAGACATATCGGCCATGTGGGCCCTTCAATACTTGGCACGTGGCAGTCTTTTCATTGACACTTGGCGAGAAAAGCCTTGCATGCCTTATAGCCACCTGTCACGAAATTTATTATAAATAGTAGGTTAAGCTTCATTAAATGGTAAGTATTAATTACTCTCTCTCTCTCTCTCTCTCTCTCTACTTTCTCTCTCTTACTTACCATCTCATAAACACTTTCTAACTTTATCATCGGAGTGGTTATCACCGGAGCACCCCGGGGTTAGCTGACTTCTGTTCATTGTGTAGGTTCTCAGCTTGCCGATAGGAGTATCAGGATCTCAGGTTCGGGTGTTCGGGTTATCGGACCAAGACAGAAACAATTTGGCGCTAGAAGGAGGGGTTATCTGAACTAAGCAGACGTTCCAAGCTTTTAAAATTTTTGCTACGAATGGGTGAAGGGGAAATCGTAAACCAAAATCAAAATGCTTAGCATAAACGGCAACATGACCAGCAGGGCAGTCTAGTACAGAAGATCCCGCGGCCGGAAGATAAAGGTCATAACCATTAGGAAGGTTATAAAATTGCTTGGCACGACGACAGTAATCTTTCTCTATTGCAGTTTTTTGGAATTTCTCACTTATTATAGCTTTCCCTACTTTACTTCTCCTTGACAAGACAAGAGGTTGCCGAAAATCATTGTCATCGGTCTCAGAGTTGTACTCATCATCCAACCTCTCCTCTTGAATTACCTCCGCGGTTAAGTCAATAACGTTGTCCCTACTCTCATCGTCGGAGTTGTCATCAGCCTCATCCCCAAGAACCGAATTTATTGCAGATTGATGAACGGGAGATGATTGGTCTTCAGGCCGAGGTGGGGGACGTTCTTCACTGTCGGAATCGGAAGAGCTAGGACTTACCACCTGACCTTGCCCAGGTTTTTTAATTGATTCTGCAGCTTCTCTGGCCGCAACCTCGAGTTGATAAATTGTTTGCTTCATTCTCGGCATTGATGTGGTACTTACACCAATGTTCCCAACGTTAGAGCCGTATTGGTCGAACCGTGTGTTGTCAAAGCTCCTCAGATGATAACGAACGTTAACTGGTTCGATATCAAGAATTTTTGTACCTTCCGAAATACAGGGATTAACAGGGCGAGTAGCCTTCTCACAGTAGGCCAGTAATTTGTGACGATAAAAAGCTTTATTTTGCTCTTCTGGGGATAACGGCTGAAACAGATCGTCAATATTGTCAGATAGGGAAGAAGCAGTCCCTCCAGAACGGCCGAGGTCTTTCCCCAACGATTGTCTAATAAGACGACGTCTAACAGTGCTTAGGGAATGGAGTTCTTCCTCAATACTACTGTTGGACATCTAAAATCCTAAACTTGAAATTTTTTTAAAAAAGAAGAGGGGTATAAAAAAAAAAATCAAATTACGAAGCATGCAAATCCTTTTTTAACAAAAAAGTATAATTAAATTCTGTAAATATCTTAAAGCTATTCGCCAAGAGTGCAGAACTTCAATTGTGCTTCTAAATAACGAGCAGACAAATAGGCAGTGGCTTGCTATGGCAGCGACGGAGATGAAGATAGAAACCCTTTTCTTGAAATCTCAGTTTTAAACCGACTTTTCGCTTTTAAAAAAAATGGAATATGAAAAGTAAAACACAAAATTTGTAAAAAGGAAGAAACTGATGTGACGGTTGAGTCAGAAATCCAATGGCTAGGACAGTTTGTAAAATTTAAATGCAAACCGATAGATTAACGACACGTGTCCTACCCCAAAGCATGTTTCCCGCTTAAAACCTAGCAAATGATTCATCTCCTAAACGACTGCGTTTTAGAGGTTCTTCTATTAAGAAGACCTTGTGTCCTATCGGTACACAAGGTCACTTGGGGGGAAAACGG